TTGGCTCCTTTTTTTTCTTTGTTCAGATTAAAGGAGTAACTGATGGCCTTTAGTGGTGATAACAGTTTAATAATCTTGATCTCAACACCCATAACTAATCAAATACAGCTGCAGGCAGGCAGGCAGAACACACAGTTCGAAAGATTTATTTTCAATCCATAGTGGGAGAATGATGGTGAATAATTGATGCAATTTATTTGCCAATTTCAACATTAAACAGCCATAAGAAGAGGTATTTTTATTTTAATTTAATTTTATTTTTTCTGAGACAAACTCTCACTTTATGGCCCTTGGTAGAGTGCTGTGGCATCACAGCTCACAGCAATCTCCAACTCCTGGATTTAAGTGAATCTCTTACCTCAGCTTCCCAAGTAGCTGGGACTACAGGGGCCCGCCACAATACCCAGCTATTTCTTGGTTGCAGTTTGGCTAGGGACGGGTTCAAACCAGCCACCCTCAGTTTATGGGGCCAGTGCCCTACCCACTAAGGCACAGGTGATGCCCTTTATTTTTTTGAGACAGTTTCATTATGTTGCCCTCGGTAGAATGCTGTGATGTCCCAGCTCACAGTTACCTCCAACTCTTGAGCTTAAGCAATTTTCTTGTCTCAGCTTCCTAAGTAGGTGGGACTATAGGGGCCCACCAGAACATCTGGCTATTTTTTTGTTGCAGTTGTTGTTGTTCAGCAGGCTCGGGCTGGGTTCAAAATCACAAGCCTTTGTGAATGTGGCTGGCACTGTAACCACTGTGCTAGGGATGGCAAAGCTCAAAAAAAAGAACACTTTGTTGTCTTATATTTTTTGTTTGTTTGTTTTTGAGACAGAGCCTCAAGCTGTCCCCCTGGGTACAGTGCTGTGGCATCACAGTTCACAGTAACCTCCAACTCCTGGGCTCAACTGAGTCTCCTGCATCAGTCTTTCAAGAAGCTAGGACCACAGGCACCCGCCACAATGCCCAGTTATTTTTTGGGTGCAGCCATTATTGTTGTTTGGTGGGTCTGGGCTGGATTAGAACTCGCCAGCTCAGGTGTATGTGGCTGGTGCCTTAGACGCTTGAGCCATAGGTGTCCAGCCGAGTGCTATAATGTCATAGTTCACAGCAACTTCAAACTCTTGGGCTCAAGAGATTCTTTTGACACAGCCTCCCAAGTAGCTGAAATCACAGGTGCCCCCCACAATGTCCAGCTATTTTTTGGTTGGAGTTGTCATTGTTTTTTGGCAGGCCCAGGCTGGATTCAAACCTGCCAGCTCCAGTGCATGTGGCTGGTGCCCTAGCTACTGAGCAACAAGTGCTGAACTTTTTATTTTTTAGAGACTGAGTCTAAAGCTACCACCCTCGGTAGAGTGCGTTAACATCATAGCTCATAGCACCTCCAACTCTTGAACTCGAGATCCTCTTGCCTCAGGTTTTGTATTTTTTGTTACAGATGGGGTCTTGCTTGTGTTCAGGCTGGTCATGAACTCATTAGCTCAAGCAATCCAGCCAACTTTGCCTCCCACAGTGGTAGAATTACAAGCCTGAGCCACTGCCCCCAGCACACTTTGTTCATTTAATTAGATTCCCTTTAGGCCAACTTGGTGAAATATACAATTGTTGATAAATCCATCTTTGGAAATATGCCTTTCATAGACTATTTTAGACATGCCTAAGCCCTATGTTTAGTCCAAATTTTTCCGATTAAACCATGACTTATATTAGGACAAACACGGTTATATTTTTTGCCCTAGACAAAATTTTTCCCTTTCCCTTTAAGGTTCCTAATGATCCATTGTTCTTCTAATTCACTTTCCTCACATTTCTCTTCTATGTATTGGATATTTTTTGCCTCCCCCCCCCCATTTTGAAAGAAAATTGCATCCTAGTAAATTCTTTACTTTATAAACACCTGAGAAAGGAGGCCTGTGGATTTAGGTCTCTAACCTAAAGTGGACAGTTCACCCAAACACAGAGTAGGGCAGTTGTAAAGCACTAAAAGGGATAAACAGAAACATCAAGCAGTGACGAGAGGGACTTAAGACAACACAGGCATTTGTATTTTACCTTCCATTTCTAAGAGGGATATAGGAGAGGGAAAAAGAGGCCCTGAATGTCCAGGGAGAGCAGAGAAGTGGCTCTAATGTTAGGAACATCAGTTTGTTTACTGTGACAGAGAGACAGCTTCCCAACACTCAGCTTTCCCAGCTGCACTTGCTCTGAAGCTGCAGTTTGTCCATCAGACAGAAAGAGTTCCAGAGGATCAGTGCTGGTTCAGGGATTTCACAGGGGCTGCAAGGTGAATGTGATCCTCTGACTCTAGGAGAGGGCAATGTCACTTCCAGTGCATCTCTCTAGTAGTGAGGGCATAGTCCCAGCAGAGGCCCCTTCCTGAGCCATTTCTTATTCCAGAAACCCACAATCATAGTAGGGAAGGGCTCAGGTCAGGTGTTTTTTTGCCTCAGCCTCTATGGGAACTGAGTGCCTGACAACTTTTTTCCATAGTGGTAGAAACCATTTCAACAGCTTCCTTCTGCTCTTTGACCTGCTCAGGGCCTGGCTTTCTCTCATTGTCCTCTCTTCCCCATTCTGCTTACCTAGATCTTAAAAATCTGGTTGACATTCTGCTTGTGGAGCCTGCGTCCCGTTGAAGCTTTTGAATATCAACACTAACTGGGAGAAGTGCATTGTCAAGGTGAAGAAGAAAAAAGCAGATGAAGCAGGGGCAGGTAAGGAGCTACATTACCTGGAAGTGAAGCCAGCAAGAGAGATGTAGGAGTAACAAATAATATGCAGCAGGCAGTGAATTCAGAATGTCTGTTGTTCCATTAGCTTATCTTGCTGAAGATGTGTATTTTCCTCCCAGATAGTGACACCAAAATGTCAGATATTAGGGGACCAGAGGTGAGGTATGGATTCCATTTTTTTGTTCCAGGTGCCAAAGAACATTTGTTACAACCAAGACCGTGAAACAAATGAGCAGAAGAAGCAGATATAAGTGTGCAAAAGGTCAAAGTTTATAAAGGACTGTACACTCCAGAGAAGTGTACAGTCTCAGTTTGAAGTGGATAAGATCCTGGGATTAATAAGATGTTTCCCCTACATGGATTTTCCAGTTCTAGTGTAGTGCTCTGGGGGTAAAATGTTCATGATATTTCTTGGTTATGGAGAAACGTTCCAGAATGGAGAGTCCTCCCATTTCTATCCCTGTAATCAACAGACACTATCTGTCATTGAAATTGTAGAGTATGATAGAACTGGGGTAAATTGTACTATGTTAATGAAAATAGGTCACTTGAGGGTGGCACCTGTGGCTGAAAGGAGTAAGGTACTGGCCCAGTATGCCAGAGGTGGCAGGTTCAAATCCCCCACATTTGTAGGGTTTCTCTCCAGAATGAATTCTTTGATGTCTAGTAAGGGATGAACTATAATAAAAAGCTTTGCCACATTCTTGACATTTGTAGG